GAAATTATAATTAGTCATTATCACAAACTTCTCATACTCAAAGAGTTTTCTATTAGTGAAAATTGGTTCCCTGACTATAGCCCCATTAATTAAATACCTACTCATCTATATCATACTATGCTCGTCACAATTAATCAAAATGATATAGAAGAGTCAATCTTATTCTTCTCACTGAACAAAGCACTTGGCCTTAGTAAAATCCCCTATAAAGCCTGAAAACACATCAGCTTATATATCCAAAAGATATTTGGAAAGCTCCTAAATGAAATTCTCAAAACTGGTCACATCCCAGCATCCTGAAAAAAATCAATTATCACTCTACTTCTTAAAAAACTAGTGTGGTCTTATGATCTCTCGGACATCAGGTCAATAGCTCTAATTGAAATCAGCCATAAAATCTTTACAAAAAACTTAATACGAGGTTATCCTATATCATTACTAACAATAACATTCTCTCGCAATCAAATTATGCAGGTACAAAAGATCAAAGTACTATGGAGTCCATTTTCATTATTCACTCCCTAATGAACTTCTCGATCAATTTAATAGAAAAATTTTGAATAACTTCATTTGATATTTCCAAAGTATATGATTCAGTCAATCTTGATAATCTCCTATCAGCCATTAATTGAATCAAAATCCCTCAACAAATTTCATCAATTATATTGAATTTATTAATTCATAGATCCTTTCAATTTATATCACACTACAACCTTACCATTCCACTATTGGTTTTCCAGGATCTGAATCAAGAAGAAACAATAGCACCCCTTCTTTGAACTATTTTTTATGACCCGGTAATCTTTAAAATTGAGCAAAATCTGCCAAAGGACAACAACATTTTTGTCTATATCAACAATGTAACCATATTCACACATAAATTAACAACCTTACAAGATGCCACTGACACCTTCACATTCTTCCTCAAGATGAATCATATTACATGCAATAAAAACAAGACGTATCTCATAACTAGCCACTCTTCCAAAAGTAACGAATGCAAAAAGAAGCTTATAATGGAAGACATATCGATACCCCCAAAGCCTTTAAACCAATCCATCTTATATCTTAGAATATATTTATCAGGCAAATTATCATCAACTACCACAAAAAGAAAATTCAAAGAGAAAGTAGAAAATTACACCAAATATATAATGGAACAACAAGGTTGGAATGGATTTATAACAATCTAGGTTTCTAAATAGATCATCCCAACTCAACTAGAGTATACCCTGAAGGTAGCAGTAATCAAGACCAATAATATACAAAAACTTCAAGCTTTTTTCAATCACCCTATCAAGTGTAAACTAGGCATAGAAAGAACAATCTCTAATAAAGCTTTATTTTCACAAGCTGGTCTTAATATCATATCTCTTAAAGCCCAAAGAAACCAAACTATTATAAAACTTTTAACATCAATACTCAACAATAGTAAGACTCTTCCTCACATAAAAAAAGAGATCTTATTTATCCAAATGAGCACAACAATATGAACTTGTCCAATATGTTAATCTAACATATTTCCAAAAATCAACTCCTAGATATTAGAAGCAGCTTCCACAGCCCTCTCATATAAAATCAATATTTGTCCTAATAACTGTCCATTCCAATACAAGGATCACATCTACCAATAGGGCTTCACCTACCAATCAACAAACCAATAGTCATTATATTATCTAAATCCAATATCAAAAATATCAAATAGTTTCTTCGATACAAGTCTCTTGAAAAAAATATATAATTAGAATTTCATACTAAAATTGGTAGAATCTTATCAGACAAAATTTCACTCTGGTTTGAAAACTTCAAATCCAATATACCAAACTTAATTGGAGACACTCTCTCCTATTTAAACCTAAACTCCTCATTTTAGACTTTTTTCAACAATAACAAGTTTGACTTTATTAAAAGATGCAAAAACATCAAGAATACAGAAATTATAAAGGAAAGGCACTATATCCTTAAAAACAATAATAACAACAATAACTTACACCAATTAATTCCTTGCACTTGCCCAGTACAACCTTGTATTGTCTCAAAACCTACTTCCAGCACCAAGTCAACCTGGCACATTATGTGAAATAATCTTTTCTACCTCTTAAATAACATTAATGAACTCAGACACATGTTTGTTTCACAAGCTCCTCAGAGCATCCCAATCATAAACATATCATCCCTTCTTTCACTTATACCTCAAGTCCTAAAAAGATATCCTTGTACTAATATTCTAATACCATTGAAGTAGAAATCGACAATACCTCAATCCTCTATTCAAATCTTTCCCAAACACAAAACAAATTATAAACTATTCTAACAGATTTAATACAATCAATCCCAATGGATTCATATATCGAGTGCAATCTCAAAAATTCTCTCAATTTTTCAACATCATTATACTCAAACAGAAACATCAAACTTCCTTATAGTTACTATAGCAATTATTGTCAAAACCTCTTCAAATCAAAAAACATTTTACTGATATTCAAAAAACACTTATCCACAACCAACATCACAACAAATCAAATCATAAAAGAGATACCTACACTTTCAACAAATAACTATAATACATCACTACTTATCAATAACCAAGTTAGAACCAGTTGTACCCAATAAATCAAGTTTATCAACTTCTCAATTAATCTTATCACCATTACCACTAGTCAAAATTGTCTTCTCAAATCCATCAACATTAAAGATTTTATCCTATTTAAAGAAGCAAACAAAAAGTGCTGGCATACTGACAAATACCTGTTCTAATCATTATTTGCATTCAGAACCAAAATTCTCTTCAATAGCCTCTCCACTAGAACCAAACTTCATAGCAGATATCCTTCACTTTACCCATCTCTCAAATGTCCCCGATGTGACAACATAATTGAAAACCTAGAACATGTTTTCAAGTGTATAAAAAACAGAGAATTACTTAACAAAAAACTTCCTAAATTCAACAACCTTCTTAAAAAAATCATACAAAAACAAAGTCAAAAAAAAAAATCAAAAAATTTACTCAACACAGACAAACATCCACTCCTTAATAATTACACCAATAAATAGTAAAACACTTTCAAATATTTCTTTAGGAATATCCAATCAGGTCCTTAAACAAATTCAAAGTAATAAGGCAAAGATTAAAATTATGAACAAGGCTCTAAAAATTTTACACAGAATATGGAAAGAAAGATTCATTACTGCTACTACAGTACCACTCACTGGTATCAAATGAAAACCCACAAAAGTAACTAGATTATCACCTGACAATCAATCATCAAACCAATTCCATAAACTCCTTAGCACTATTTTAACAGCTTCAAATAGATTATTAAACTCTACTAGCTACTCTATCTTATCTTTAGCAGTAATAGCATTATTTTTGAATAAGTAATTGCCATTCAACCCTTTTCTGGCATATCCAGTCACAGACTACAAGTGTGTTACAATAGGACAATCGCAATAGGCATTAGTTAATTTGTTTAGGTATTACAACCTTGTAAAGACTATTTATGTAACTGTTTATGAATTAATTTTCTAATAAAAACTTGCATATATTGCTCATTTGTGATAAAAAAAATATATATATATATATAAATTTTATAATTTTTGATTGTATAATTAAAAATTTAAAAATTGTTTAAATTAATTTATAATAAATTGATTAGCAACTAAACTTTTTTTATTAATTCTCTGACCATACACAAAAAAGATATTTACAAAAAGTTTTTATATTTTCTTGCTAATAAAATCTTAATACTTTTCTTAAAATAATTTGAAGTATGACTTCAAAAGTCATCTTTACTTTTCTTCTTTTGTTTACAAATATTTTCATTCAAAAATTTGACTTTTAATAATTAAGAAAAGTCAAATAATATCTTTAATACCAATGCAAGGAAGTTTTCAAAGAAAGAAAAACTAAATGTGAAGTATTTGAAGGTTTTTTTAATCTTTGAAATAAAAGGTTTTATAAAGGTTTGTTATAGTTAAAAGACTTATTTTTTTCTTTAAACTATCTTGGCTCTTTTAGAGCTTTCACTTTTATAATTTTCTAAAGACATTTTACTTATTTTAATTTGATCTTGAATTTTAAATAGTACAAATCTTTATCAAAGATAATTGATTAATATAAAACATATTAGATTTTGAAATATAAACAAGTTTTTATTAGTCATATTTATATGTTCTGATTATATCATTGGAATATTTTAGAAATATTTATTTCTAGAAGTTCAAATTCTATAATAAAGATATCTATAACTAAGTAATAAATAATGTGAATTATAAACTTTTATCTCTACTTAAATTCTTTAAATAATAATAAAGCTTTAATAGATAAAAGCTGAAATTTGAATATGTTCTTGAGATATTTTAATCTGATACTTGTTTAAATGAAAAATTAGTTGAATTGACTTGTTCAATGTTATAGATAATAAAAAAGAAAATTTTTTTTTAAGATTTAAATGAAGCAAAAAAACTATTCCAATTAAGCAGATTCTTTTTGAAAAAAGATTGTTTTTATTTTTAGACTTTTTTAATAGGCCTTGAATTGTCTCCTTTTTTGACTTAGCAATTTATTGATTTTTGAATCAATCAATAATGACAAACTATCCTGATAGATAGGATTTTAACCAATCTATCAGGAAAGTGTAATATTGTTTTCAAGATCTAACTTAGAGTACTTATGTATAAAGATGAGTAAGTCACTTTGTGAAAAGTCTGTAACTTATAGTAGATTTTATTTTAATTTCTCAATAAAGACACACCATAGTAACATGATTGCGGGTTAAAATACGGTAAATAATTTATAGTAAGTGAACTGTTGTGCCCCCTTGACTTATTTAGGCAAGTTAATGTAACATACGTATTATGCATATCACATGTTAAAAGAAAAAAATTCTGACGCGTTCATCACTGTAATCTGAGATAACGCGTTTTGTCTTGCATTTTTTTTTTTTTTAAAAAAAAAAAATATCGGTGAAGTTTTTATGATACAACACTGAAACGTGAAAATGTCTGAAACTATTGACCCCAACGCTCTGAGGGAAACGTTTCCCTTGATCTTCAAAAAATTTCCGGGATTAGATCTGAGCATTATTTTCGAAGCATTGGATGAGTCGGAGTTTGACGAGGAGGCAGCTATCGAGGCTCTCGCAAATGGAAACGAAAATGGGAATGCCGTTGCCGCCTCGTCAAATGATACACATGTTTCGAAAACTGAAGAAGTGAATGCTATTCCTCCAAGTGAAAATGGTAACGAGGATATGGACATTGATAATTTTCAGGTATCTGTTAGGCAGGAATCCATGGATATCGATTGTGAAGCACCGGAGTCTCGTTCTTCCTCGCGCCTCAAACGCAAGCATGAGACCATCCCTAAGCCGCAGGTCAAGCCTAAGGTATCTTCAAAACCGCAAAAGAAGAACGTGCGCTACTATAAATTCAGGGAGGACGAAGCTGAAGAAAACGAGTCTTTCGAACTTATAGGTGAAGATCCAATATCCAGAGACAAGCAAGAGCCGGAAGAGGATGATAGAAATACGCTTCCATGTCGTATTCTTGAAGATTTTATAATATATGATTTTAATGAGAAAAATCGCGTCATTAGTCTCGAGGAGGTTGATGGGGAAGGAAGAGAACTGCATGCTTCAGGAATAGTAAAACCAATATATGTGGGTGCGGACGATGAGGAAATTGAAGATGATGAAGAAAACGAGGGGGAGGAAAGGAATTCAGAACAACGCCTCAGGACGAGTACCATCTTCTATTTTGAAATATATTACACTCAGGATGGCCAAAGTGAAATATGGTTGCGAACGCAGTATGCGTTTTACAAATTATTAAGGGCGTCCGATGATTATGTACCATATTTTATGCCTATATTCAAAAGGATTCGTGCCGCAAATTTGGCGATCGAGGCCATGGTCAATGATGCTAACATTACATATGATCAATTCATCGAGATGATTCGGGAGCCAATTTCATCATTTTCACCATCATCTTATGCGCCCGAATCTCTCGACGTTAAATTCACTGAAAGAGACATAGTAGAAAATATTGACTACATTACTGAGGAAATACAAACTTGGGTTAGTGAACAAGAGGCTTTCGGAATTTTTGATTGCCCGCTGCTGGCTAAATTTAATGAAATCCGAAATAAAAGTGCGAATAGAAGGTCGAAAAAGCGTCATGTCGCGGTAGATACGGATGCCATTAAGACGAAACGCAACGTTATGAAGAATCCTAATCTGTCGGTTCTGAAGCATCAAAATCAGACGTGCGTGACACCTTTCATTAACGAGTTAACCGGTGGTCTCTTCTCGAGGAAATTCATTACCGTGAATCATACACAATCAGAGATAGCGCAAGACGAGAAATTGAAATCCATGAAATCTCCGACCGTGTTCAAACCGGTTACTCACAAGATCGAATGGAATGATGAGGAAATCGCTCGGAATGGAAAAATTGTTTACTACAAATCAGCGATCGTTGATGATGAACTTATAAATGTCGGAGATGTTGTTTATGTGCGAAATGATGTCTCCGATGAGCTATGGTTTGCCAAAGTTGAGTACATGTTCGATGACCCAGTCGACGGTAAAATGTATCACTCTAGATTCTTTAGTCACGGAAAGGAGACAGTTCTGGAGGAGATGGCCGGACCGCGGGAAATTTTTCTGCTAAATAATTGTACCGATAATCCCTTGGAAACAATAGTGGGAAAAGCCAATGTTAAGAGGCTAAAATCCGAGGAGGATGAGAGTTTTGCATTCGAAGATGACAATTATTATTTCTATAGATTTTGGTATGATGAAGAGTATGCAACATTTGAAGACGTACTATCTCATGAGAATCCGGATGCGCAATTCATGTATTGCAATGAAAATGAAAAATGTCAATCGTGCGAACGTCAGTTATCCAAAAAAGCCGAGAAAATACCAAAATGGATATCCTCAGATCCAAAAGACGGATTTGTATATAAAGGTGTGGAATATCACACTCACGATTTTGTCTACATGGTGCCAGAATCAAGAGAAGGTCCATACGATATTGGTCAAATTGTCGAAATATCGAGTAAAGGGGAATATATGGCTGTAGATGAGTACTTTAAAGAAACCAATAATGATCACGTGAAACCCGCGTTGGTGGCGCTCGTTGTGCGGCTACTTGGTCGTCACGATGATATCATTAAGGCTAGGACGAAGAAGTCGATCAACATGTCTGCATCTCATCGAGACATTATAACTATATCCGGAGAAGTCAAAGATTGCCGTCGCCTCTACTTCACCGATGAGACGAAATATTTAAAGCGCGTTGACATGCTGGAAGGGATATGCGTTGTCAACCATAGAGACAATATTGACAACCTTGAAACATACAAGGATGAAAATGACACTTTCTATGTAGACTGTAAGGTGCAAAAAACATCTTCAAGATTAGCCGACGTAACCGAGATTCCTATGGATGCCAAAGAGATATTGGTTTGTCAGACTTGTGCCGATCGTCGTCGGCACAAACAAAGAACAATGGATGAATTTATGGAATTCATAAAAAACAATAAAGAGAAACTTCGATCAATGGATATCTTTTCAGGTTGTGGCGGTCTTACGGTTGGTATGGATAAAACCGGCGTGGTGAATACGCGATGGGCGATAGAATTTGCTCCTAGTGCGGCATTAACGTTTGAAAGGAATCATCCGGATGCTATCACATATAATCAGTGCGCCAATATCCTATTGAAACGTGCAATTGAAGAGCATAGTAACGGGAAAGAGCCCAGTGTCTTAAATGACTTTTTGGGCCGTAAGGTTCCGAGCATGCCGGCTCCTGGTGATGTTGACTTCATTTATTGTGGACCACCTTGCCAAGGGTTCAGTCGTGTAAATCGATATCAGAAGGCGGATGATATCAAAAACACATTGATTGCAACAGCTCTTAGTTATGTGGACTTCTATAGACCGGAATATTTTCTATTAGAAAATGTACGTGGAATGCTCAGCTTCCGTATGGGAGGTGAACAGGACGGCATACGAATTAAAGGGGGTATTAAAATGGGCGTAATAAAATTCATTTTACGTGCGTTAACTTCGATGGGATACCAAACTCGATTTGGCGTACAACAAGCAGGCCACCACGGAGTTCCCCAAAGTCGTCGACGTTTATTTATTTGGGGCGCCAAGAGAAACTCATATTTGCCCGACTTTCCACAACCTTCCACTTGTTTCCCTAAACAAGGATCTATTAATATATTGCTTCCGAACGGTAATTCTTTTACCTATAATCAGCGCACTAATGGGCACGCACCACTATCGCCAGTGACAGTTGCCGAGGCGATCAACGATTTGCCGGCCTTCGAGTTTGTGGATCCTCACGAAGTCTATCCTGCAACCAAGGAGGATAAAGAGGAGTCACGACCGTTTAAACAGATAATAGTCCCGGAGAGGGGTTGGGCCGGTGATAATGTAACCGAATATAAATCGGGCCCTTTATCCGAATATCAGAGACAACTTCGCAAAGGAACCATCGCTCTTCACAATCACATAACACGTGCATTTAATAGATTGACAATTGAGCGTATCGTCCGAATACCAATGTATCCCGGTGCGGATCATTCACGTAAGTATATTTAAAATATCTTCACGATTTTGTGGGCCTATATGTTTACTTTTCCCTATTTTAGAACTCCCGGAAAAACTTAAACCCTGGTGTCTAAGTGATCCGAATTCGGCTGCTAGCCGAAATAACGGGTGGAAGGGACTTTTTGGTCGCCTTGATTTCGATGGTCATTTTCTCACGGCTCTAACAGACATAAACCCAATGGGAAAAACAGGAGTGCGTTTCATTTTTATACTTTTTCTTATTCCAACAATTGCACAACTAACACTACTCCAATAACATTTCAAAGACTGTGATACACCCCAATCAAAGAAGAATATTGACCGTACGTGAGTGCGCACGCGCGCAAGGTTTTCCGGATCGATTCATTTTTTATTCTGACCGGGATGATACCAAGGATATGCATCGTCAGATTGGCAATGCTGTGCCCCCACCACTAGCCTATGCTCTAGGATGTCATTTAGTAGAATCACTCTTTAAAAAATACAATGATAACAAGAAATCAAAGGGAAAGGAAAAAGTTTTATAGTTAGGTTATTTAAATTTATCAAAATTCAATTTAATCATGTCCAAGAGTGTCTAAATTTTCCTTTAAGAAATAATATCTGATGGTTTTACAAATCCATTGACGCTATACATAAAACAATGATTGATAATAATGTTTATTTAAATTTGGAATTATTTTTGAGCATTTGAAATTTTAAACAATCTACAATAAATAATAAAACATAAATAAACCAATTCAACAGTAAAAAACTGTTTAATTGGAAAGTAATTATTGATGGAGTAAAAAATTATTTCTAATATTGCATTTAGAGTTAGTTAACATTGATGGTGATATGTTGAATAGGATAGAAACTTTAATGAAATATAAAATATATAAATAGATGACAAAATTTTAATAAAGTAACTAATTTAGTGAGAGAATAGATTAGAAAAAAAATATTATTATTATTATTATTTTAATCTGCAGTCATGTTAGTATGGCATGTCTTCATTGTATATATGCTAGATATTTACAAAATATTGTAACTTTTATATACAAACTCATCATTCATCAAAAAACTATTCTCTAGATACAACTTGGAAAATGATATTTTACTCTTTTGTTGATTTGGATAAGTTCTTAAATCAGTAAAATTATTGTCTACAGATAATTACTATAGATCATTTTAAATTTTGTTAGCAGTTAAAAATTAAACCATTTGATTCTATAATAAACTCATTTCTTAATAATTTTTATATAGTCCTTTTTTTCTTTTCTTTTTATGTTTTCTTAATCCAGCTCTTTTAAAAATTCCATAGATTTTTTATAATCTTCCTGGTTCATGTATTAAGTTTATATCTAGATCTTTTTGTTCTTTACTCTTTTTTGATAATATTCTATTTCTTTTTTTATTCTATTATTTTGGTATAATAGCTATTTCAAATCTTTTCCTTGAAGTTTTTTCAATCTTTTAACAAAGCTTACTGAGTATATTATATGTTAATATTAATGGAATTTTAAATTGTTCTTTAAAATAACTCTCAAAAAAATAATCTTGTCTTCTTTCATATATTTACAAATAATATTGAAAAGATTTCTTTCAGATTGTCGAATCTTATTCAACTATTTATCAACTCACTTATTAGTTATAGATTAAATTTCTTTCTTATATTTATTTTTTTACTAATATAATAATTAAACTTTTTATTTACTTTTGCTATATATCTTTTCTAGCTTTTTTAGTAACTGGATATTTAAAGATATATTTTAATATCTTTATTTGAAGTTTATATATTGGATAAATTGTTATATTACAAATCTCCAATTTTTTTTTTTGAGTATTTGCAATACTAACAATTTATTATAAGTTGAATTGATTAGGAAGTTTTTGTTTTTGTTAGTTTTAAAGAAGATGTCAAATATATTAAATAAATTAAACTATTTTAAAAAAATTGATCAATTTATAATTATGTTATTTTAAATCCAAAGATCACAATTTTTCTTTTATATTATTCAATCTATTCTAATTTTTTCTTATTGAATATTTAGATAAAGTCTTCAGTATTAATCTCCTCTATTGTATTGTATATTCTTTTTAAACAACTATTATTAAAACTCTTTTTAACTCTTATAACTGATATTAGCTTATTGAATTTTTTTATCTATCCTATTTAGTAAGAGAATTTGCCTGGTTATTAAATTTGTTAGTCTTATAAGTCTTGACCTTTATAATTTTTAAAATAATATCTTTCTTCTTAACTAGGTCTTTAATCTTATTTTATAATAATTAGTTTGTATTCCTTATTTACTTTCTTATTAATATTTTTATTTATGAGCAAATAGATTTTTATATTTTGACTGCAGTACTATAATCAATAATAATTGTGATTATTACATTTTGAAAAACAGTATACAATACTATAAAGATGGCTAATATCCTTATTCTAATTGTAAATGGCCATATTGATGCTCTTGTTAAAAATTGCTTGACAATTCTAAAAAAAAAATAATAATAATAAATAAAAGTTGATTTTATTAACTATAAATTAATTGATTTTATTTAAAATATTTTTAAATATAATTTATAATTTAATTTTATGAGAATTATTTTTAAATATAATTTATAATTTATTTTTTACTTTTTTTATTTATAATTTTTTACAATAAAAACTTGTTTTTTTTATAATCTAAACAAAATAAATATTATCTTTTTTATCAATAAAAAATTTTTTTAAATAAAAATAGAACTAATATATTATTATATTTTTATTTATTTTATTTTATTTTTTTATTTGTTACTTCTGGTTAGATTAACATAATGTATTTATTAATTATTATAAAAACCAATAAAATACAGTTGATAATTATATCCTGGTTAAATTAAATCTTATATTAACTTATTTATCAACTATTCTCAATTCTTAAAAGAGCTTTAGTTTTTAAATATAATCTTAAAAATAATATTTTACTTTATAATAAATTTTAAGTAAATATTCTTTTAATTTAAATATCATTGTTAACAAGTTATTACTATTATATGATAAAAACTCTTTCCGCAAATCCCTCAGATCCTTAGAAATTTCCTTTTTAGGCAATACACCTAAGGAAAGAGACAACATACACAACTCAAGACATATACTCTC